GAATAGAATGAATATATTTTTATCGTGTATTCCTTCTAGATCAAAAGGTAAATTGAGCCTTTCTTTGAAGGCGATTTTTATCAACTTCAGAATAAGGGGACAATATATTGGTTTATGATTTAGAAATATCCATTGAGTTGCATTTTTTTCAGATATCCCTATATAACCATGATAATCTGTGTTATATTCCGAGCTGCATTGTATAGACCATACATGACTCAAAGGTAAATCTTTTCCAAATAACATTTTCAAGACTGCTGTTGAGCTGTGTGGCTTAGCAATTCTTAAAACGACTTTACTTCTTTCCTCGTCTCTAATTGAAAATGACACCTAATTATATTAAAAATGATTAAATTTATAATAAAATAAAGAATTTTACAGATGCTACAATAAATTAAACCGTACTTCTAACTTTGCAACAGCTATAGCACCAATAAAAAAACAAATAGTAGATATGTCCCATTTCTGTGGTACTTTATGGAAATCAAAAACAGATACAGTCGTACCACATGAAGGTCTCTGTTCTATTTGCGTTAAATTTGACGCAGAATCTGCTTTAAACACCTTTAATGAAAAAAAAAAAATAGGTAAGACTAAGGTTATATTTTAAAATATAAAAATGTATTCCTTAATTTGAAAAAAGCAGATGAGAAACATGTGCCTTTAACACAAAGTATGTAATGATTATAACGTATTAATGAATATCTCAAGATTAAATTAATGTATAGATGATTATAATACCTTCATAAATGTTTCCATCGAATGTTGATATCTTGAAGCAATAGTAAAACTATCAGACAGACAACGAATACTTGTCAACACTTGATTGTTTAGTTCTGTCATGTGCTCCAGCATATCTTTTGGTATTCCAACGCCATTATCAATAACTTGTACATTACGTTTCTCTACGTGAATTCTTATAGCAATCGCTTTGGCATGTGCAGTCAGAGAACTTGCTACCTGTAAACGTTTTACGTATGCGTAATTGCGTATGCATAATTCTTTAATTGATGAAATGTCATTGTTTTTATTTATAATTATGAGTGCACACTGGCGTGCGCATCGAATACAATGCAATTCCGGATTCCGGCAAGCATTTGTCAAGTAGACCACAGCCATTGACGCACAATGACTTGGATTATAAAATTATGTATCATTGTTATAATTTCCCCCAAAAAACGTATAATGAATTATACCAATTCTGTCAGACATTGCATGAAAGATGATTTCGTGAACGCTTTCACGTTCAATTCCACTTTATTTCGCATCATTCTCGATCCTGCATCCTTTTTCGAACTTTACGCACTTTACGACAAGAAGCCAACTCAATGAAATGGATGCGCAAATTCGCGCCACGCCGCGCCACCCTGCGTCACTTGCTATAATTAAAAATGTATTAAGCGGATTGGCTGCTCGCACATGCATTACGAACGCATTGTTAGTGATGTGTTTTGGCAAAAGTCAAAAGGGTCCCACTAATTGTCCGTACAAAATAAAAGTCTTCAAAAATTGGGAAAAGTCGTGATATATAATCATTTTTCTAACATCTTACTTTTAATTCCTAATTAGTAATGAATAGATTAATACAGATATCGATTATAGAAATAACTTATCGATCTAATCGGGCTTTATTTACTTGCACGGGCACGTCATGACTCTTATACCCATATCTCCCACATTATACGCTACTATTCTATTGTCAGTATATGCACCGCGCAAATTTTAAATTTTACACACTGTATACTACAATGTATTATATATTTTTTTTATATTAAAAAGCTATTTCTTTACGCTTATCTTTATTACTATCTCTGTAATAAATAAAATGTTATTTGAACAAAAGCTCATAAGTCATATATTTGGAGTTTTAATAAAAAAATTTTTAATTTTAAAAATATATCATACATTTAGATTTGATGTAAAAAAAAGCGAAAAAATGAATGTAAAAGGTATAATTAGCATAAATAGATCTATCGTTGCAAGTTGCGATGCGGGAAACACAAAATGTTCGTGTTAAAATGTAACGGTGATTCAAAAGTGATACGAAAGACCTTAATATTTCCGATTCAGTGTAAACGAATCAAGTAGGAAATAAATAAATAGCGATCAGTTAAATGTATTTATAAAAATCTCTTTATTCATTTTTTTATTGCATCTACTAAAAAGTTTCTGCATTCGTATCTCTTTCAAAATGCTATATATAATCCTGGGAAAGAAGTATGGCTCTCTCTTTTAGTAACAAGTGCCAAGACCATGATAACTTAATATTAACATTCGAGTAGCTTTATACATCGTATTCCTTCGCCGCACTCGGAGGCTAAGAGTATTTAATATAATTTATTTAACGTCCGGTCGACATAACACTAGGAGAAACTGTAATTATAATGATTATCGCGCTAAGAAGGATCTCGGTAGCTTCAACAAGAGGTCTTAATAAAGTTGCCACCAATATTTCATATGTTTTCCTCAACAATTCTCATCAACATAATAAAAATTTGCGAACAATCTCTGAAATTAGTATACTGTTAATTATGCATAATGATATTACCGTGTTTCTTAGTATTTTGTAGCGTTAAATTATTTTGGTACGTGGAAACTTAACAAACACAGCGGATACAAAAATAGTTTAAGTAATATACATATTTATGCATATATACTATATATATATATATATACACACATATACATATATATAATATATATTTCTAGATATAAGACACGTGGAAAACACGAAGTATATGCTCGTACTTCGATTCGTCAATTTTTATGCCATTAATATACCTGCGCATCATTTACATTCATGTAACATTTTCTCTGATAAAAACATCGGTCATTTACACATTATAGCAAATTATGCAAAATAGTTATACATATATATCGCTAGAAATTTGATACAATTGCAGTACCCAATGTTCCATAAGCCGAAGAAAGGAAAGAACCAAGTGTTCAATTTATAATGTGACGAGTCTTTTATATCTCGGATATGTTTAAAAATAATAAATTTGTAAGTTACGGAGTCAACAAATTGACAGAGTCGCGCTTGGTTCTCGGCACCGTGAGAACGCTTGCCGATTTAAAGAGCCGATTTAAATTGCTTGATAAAATTAGTGTTCTTATTTCACGCGTGCGCATTCGCGAGTTATCTCCGCGGTTGCAACAATATCTTCAATACATCATTTACAATTGCTACAATTTGTCGTCATAAGCAATAATTTTAATCATTTCTATTCTTCGATATGTATGAATAATTTCAAGACAAATAATGAAAGTGAGATTTTTTCTGATTTACAAATGTTATGGAACACTGGTTGCACATGGCCCTTTACTTTTTCTTCGTAAATACTCATCTGCGATGTGTTCAAAGTCATTAAATGTACAATCTCTCCATTAGAGTATCTTAGCAAATAAAAGCCACTTTCAAACGTTGTTTTTGTGAAAACCTATATAAATTAACAGCATACTCTTTTCATCAGCTTTTTTCAACTCACGATCGAATATATTCGTAACAATTTTTATTGCGATTGAAGATATTAAATATATGTAATATATACCGCGAGCACATACCAGGTAAATTTAATAATTAAGAAATAATATAAAATACGTGTTCTTTTAGAGGAGCGAGCTTGGAAGAAAAGTATACACTGAGAGAAAAGTATGTGATATTTGGAACTACAATTGAATACTCATTTTTATAGGAATTGTTACTTACATGTTAGCAACAATAATCTTATACGCGTACTGCCAATATCATGTAACCAACCGTACAGTTGGAGTATCTATAAAAATATAATAAAAACATTAATATAAAAAAACATTATCATTAGATAGATTATGATTACTGCAATTATTCTTTTCTCTCAGTATAGTTGTACAATCTAAATTATTCTACATAGAAAAAAAAGCATGAAAATATCGAATTGGAGAAGCTCGCCACGTAATATTGTATAGTTTATTTTGTAGTAAAATTATGGTATAATAACAATCACATATCGAGTCATCTATCAATCATATCAACGAGATATAACACACATGTTAAAATGATGAGACATAAATAATTTAGCGGCATCACCAAGTATTTTGACGCTAGTAGCGTTGAAAAATCATGTAACATTAAAAATATATATATGTATAAATCGACGAGTTATTCCTATAAATATCCTCTAAAATCTGCTGTGACAAATCAATCACTTAGAAACAAATTCACAATTTATTTAACTTTACTTTAGGCACCAATGGTATGCAGACCCTGTCTTTGGTACATACGACCGATTCGATTTTTTTTGTTTATATCTGAACAAAGAAGACGCATTATCACAGTCTTCTGTATCTGAATATAGTTATTTATTTCGTAATGATTTTATATGATAAGTTTACTTTATCTTGCTATTTTCCTTTCTTTTTGCACATTCAATGCAAAGATTTTGTATTATTACATTTTATTTATCAATGTGATACAGTCCTAACGCATGTTCATTAACAGAAACTCAGTCTTCTTCCTTCTTCTCGGGCTTCAAGTCTACCATTGCGTGTAATTCTTCAGGACTGTATCTGTAAAGATCGAGAAGGAAAATGACACAACGGTTCGCACTGTATGTCTACATTGTGTGTGCATGTGTAAGAATGCAATAGACACATTTAAACGAATTCAGTACCAATCTATGTGGTTAAATGCATTTTTAGTTCTTATTATTTTCTCTTTTTTTTAATAAAAATTGGCCTTTTTCTAGCTATTAAAAACCACCGCAACGCAGAAGAATAATTTCTTTTTCAGAGTAAATCTAGAATTAGTCGATCAACTAATACACATAAAATTTTGTCCAAATCTGTTAGAAACTTTTAAATTAAGAAGAAGAAAGGAGAAAAAACAAAAAAAAATTATTTTTTAAAGACGTGAGTTAAACCAAAAATATATATTTCTTATAAAGTATACTTTTTAGTAAAACTAGTAAAACAACTAGCGAATGTACAATGCATATGTAAAATGTAATTAAAAAATTCATGCAAATATGGTCCTATACTCACCCTAGTAGATTTTGTAAGTCGCATACGAAGCGATAGACATATCGCTTGCCAGCAGTTTTGTGAATAATATTCTTGTCATAGTAGTAGCGTAAGCCTCGGCTTAGCTTCTCATAATTCATTTTGGGTTTGTTCTTGCGAATGCCCCAGCGGCGCGCCACCTCGTCCGGATCGGTTAATTTGAATTCCCAACCGTCGCCGGTCCACGAGATGAACCCCTGACATGATTTGTCAGTTAGGAGTTCCAGTAAAAATTGCCACAGCTGAATCGGACCTGATCCAGTGAAACATGGTCCGCCACCTAAACAAATATTTTCATATGAAAAGTGTACTTCACGTGATTACGTAGAAATTTCAAACAAAATTCGAAAATATTACCGACTGAGCCGAATCGCGTGAACTTACCTGCATAACCGGCGAGCATGGGGCTCTGCAGTAGGGGCTTTTGGTCCGCATTATTGGCGATAGATGTGGGATGATGAGGGTTGGAGGAGTCGCGCGGTCCGAGTCCCGCGAGAAATGAATGGTGGGGCAGATGGTCTCCAAGTCCGACGCTCCATTGATCACCGCCGACGCCGCCGCCTCCAGCACCGCTCCCGCTTCCGGGAACCGTCTGGAACGACGTTGCATCGTACTGACCGTACCCGCCGCTCTCGCTGTAACTCTCGTGGTAGCGTCCTGTCGAGCAGACGTCATTTCGATATTATTATCAACGAATCATCGTTGGCACCTACTAAAGCTATCAAAATAACTGTGAATACGTTTAATTTATCTTTTCAAAAAGACCGGGACTTCGCTTCTAATTGAGAGGAACGAACCTCGAGTGTAATTCTTGAACGGCGACGGCTGATATTTGGGCTCAAGATGGATCCCGCTGGCGTAAAACTCCGGCGAGCTGTCCAAATTGTATTGATGCGGTGGCTGGTGATCCTGCGGCAGGCTGTGATACTCGGAGGCCTCGTCGTATCCCGAATAATGCGCCGGCGTCATGTAACTTTCCGTGGCGTTCGCGTTGACCCTCAAGTCGCTCTCGTTACTTCCTGTACCGGCGAGATCGCTTCCGCTGCCCAGGCCGCCACCTCCACCTTGGAGATGCTCCGCTATGTGATGATTGCTGTAGTTCGCTGCAAATTTGTTTTTATTATAAATTATTTTTCGCGAAGAAATCACACGTTCGAGAACTTTTTGCTCGACAAGGTTTCGCACGATAGCGATTGAAATTAATATATAGTTCCACGCATCGACGTAAAACAATAATGATCATTTGCGTATTATTTAATATAAAAATAGCTTTGATTAAAAAAATTAAAAAAAAACATCAATCGACATTGCATGAAATTCTGTTAAATAATCTTGTTTGATTTTTATCATTCTTTAAACATCGAAAAACGTAAGAAAATAATTGTATGTCTCGTATACTATTCAAAATATTAATTTTTTAAAAATTTGGATACAAATTGTACGAATAAAATGGGAAATAATATGATAAATAGGCTAAAAAGAAAATGAGAAACTCACATTCCGTTTTGAGCTGATTTAAATTCCGTAGATGGATGTATGCGTTATTTGCATTGTTGTTGTTATTATTGTTGTTATTACTGTTAGGAGTACTAGAGTGAGAGGTTGGTGGTTGGGTGCTATGGCTGTGAGGTGGTGGCGACGTTTCGTCTCTTTGACTTTCGTCTTGGCACACGGGACTGCGAAGATGATTGTAACCACCTGCAAAAAGAAACAATTTTATTCATTAGTGCTCAATTCCACACAACATGTCTTAATATAAATAACAGAAAGTCACAAGACATTGTCCTGATCTTGAATATGTTACAAACTCAGTTCATTTATTTATTAATATTTTAGATAAATTAAAAAAAACACATTAATATACATAAGAGTCTATGCAGAGATAGAAGATAATTATATCAATTAAGAAGATTCAAGTAATAAGCGCTTTGGATTATCTCAATGTTTTCTTTAAGCAAATAATATCACGTATCGCGAAAATCGTCATCGCGTAGGCGTTGCGGTGCTCGGCGGTTAACATTCGGTCATCAAGTCGGACTGATGAATAAGAAAGAAAGGACGATGCTGCACCGTCTCTTCGCGGCCGTTGCAGCGCGCAACGCTCCGCAGGGAGGAACCGCTGACACGTAGGCGGCACGTATCTCGACGATTGGTCTGAACGAACTCCGCCTATCCTCGACTTCCGTTCCGCGATCGCGAGAGAATCCGAGCCGCGGTGAACTTCCATCGCGGAGGCTGAGGTTGCGCGTGCCCGCTTCGGTAAGCGCTTGTCCGAATCGTCACTCGGCGGCGAAGCGGTGCCGCGACCGTTAAATTAATGATTTGTTGCGACGCGCATCAGTCTTGGCACGCATAAAATCTTTGCACCGCGATGACCACTCGAGTTAAGACTCGAACTTCAAGATTCTTTTCTAATCCTTTAATTTTTTGTTTTCTCATTGAAGATGCCATAATTACACAGCCCTCAACATTTTTCTGCGGAATTCATCTTTTGTAAGAAAATTGTTTTTGATTCCTATTAAACAAATGACAGATTTCTCGTTTGATTAATTTACAAGAGTCGAATACAAATTTTTCACCGTATGAAACACATTATTCTCTCTATAATTGCAATCATAAATATGTAGATACTTAATGAGGCGTGATTCATTCATTTTTCTTGAACTAGGAAAGATAAGAAAAACTTGGTATTAACAATTGTAAAAAAAAGAAGGTTTCTTGTGATAAGAAAGTCAGTAAAATTATTTTAAATCTTATCTCAAGCTTCGCTATCAAACTTCCATTACAACACTAATAGGATTTAATTAAGGAACAGCTACCTTATATTCTACTGATCGTTCAGTTTTTAATGCCATTTAACGTTTATTAGAAAACAAGAAATAAAGAGTTTAGAAAATAATAGAATAATCAGAGATAGCAATTAAATTTCATACCGCTCAGTACAATTATACAAAAATAGAAACAGCAGATTTCCTTTCAAATTAAAAACAGATCGGCTTCCAGTCTGAATATAGGCTTAAATATGCTGAAAAAAATCGTTTCTTATAAATAAAGAAGCGAGAGATTCAATTTAATGAAAGCGCGTGAACGAAATAAAATAAGGACGCGAGTGAAATAAACAAACTTAAAAATTTTTTAATTTCTGCCGCAATCCTATGCGCTCGCCGCCGGTGTATTGAACTTGCAACGTAAAGTCGCTTAAATTTATTATACGCAGAGCTGCAATTTAAAGGGGGAAGCCGAGTCATTAACTCGAGGTTTAGCTGGGGTTTGCGAAGGGTCAAAACGAGGAGCAGGTGATATCGAGTGCGTTTTATCTGTTACAACCAGGTGGCTCGTCGGGATCATTACGACTAGGTCGTCCGCTGCGCTCGTTACAGCTCTCCTTCTCATTTACACGGTCTAATCAGCTTAGTCGCACGATTAACGCGTCCTCTGAAGTTGGCTTTTTGTTTAATAATACGTGTAACAGGACGAAATGCGGGCGACTTCGACGAATTATCATAATCCACCGACCTTTACGTCGACAGCGCTTATCGCACATGTGACGCGCCACCACCCCATATTCCCACACTTACGTTTTAATAACGAGCGGAAAAGGAAAAAAAAAAAAAAAAAAAAACAGGTGGTACCGCCGCACAAGTGTCGCACCGGTCAAATATCTCTAATTATCGTATAATTCTGTAATTAAACGTAATGGAACTCAGAGCCAGCTATTAACCGCTTTTGAAGAACAGCGTGAATCAAATAAACGGGAATCAACAGCGATCTGTTTTAAGGGAATCCTAAAGTGGCCTGTTTTACCTATTTTTTTCAAATACACTATACTTTTTTTTGGCTGTGTAGAATGAAAAGTCCTTTTCTGTAAGTAAAGTATTGTACATATGCTAATACACTACGGACGGTCGATTTGAAAGGATTTCTCAAGCCACGCAGCCAAAAAAAACGAATTTTACGAAA